TATATGAAAGAACACTAGTCCAGTTCTACTCAGAGCTATTATGGGTCAGAGGATTCTTCCCCTCGGTGACAGATAGAGGGTTGCAAGTCCCATCTCCATTTCTTGGGCAGACTAGATGGGCCAAATGGTTATCTAGGCAAGATTGCATTGAATACCTGGCCATATAGCATGTACTTGGCAAATTATTTCAATGACATCCTTGCTTACCTAACGGGCAAGGTTTGCATAGAAAAGACTTCTAGGGTGGATCTGAAGCCTCAGGTTTTTTTGGAAGCTAGTAATGGATCCGATTGGCTCCAAATAAATGATGATAATAATACTAATAATAATTATAAGCTACAAAACTGCTTGGAGGGAACAATATCTGCAACTTAGTTTTGGTTAAGTTAATAAAATGTGTATTATCTTCAGGAGACTATATCAGTTTGATAACTAAAAGATGTGGTTCTTCCCCAGTAGACTTTTTTTTTAAATGTGCAATTTAATATACAGGCACTGCAAACATTGTGTGCACACTGTACTCTGCATCCTTTGAAGCAGGAAGATGTTTTATGAAAAGGGGAAACATGGCTCCTATTATGCAATTACTCTAATTTTTAACATTTGGTGAAATCTAGAGAACATCTTGTGGAAGTGTGATGAGATCCTATGAAAATGCCTTTAAGGTTGGGAAAGGTCTTCCGCATTTCAGAAATGTGATGCGGTCCTATTAAAATGTCTTCCACTTTGTGGAAATGCTACTGGCTCTAATGAAAACATCTTCCACATCACAAAAATACTAAGGGTCCACTTAAGGACCTATGATGGTCTATGCCAGGGGTTGGCAACATTCGTCACTCCACCTGTTACGCACTACATCTCCCATAATGCTCTTGCAGCCATAACTCTGGCAAAACATCGGGGAGATGTAGTCTACAACATCTGGAGTGGCAAAGGTTGCCATTATAGCAATTCATTTTGAGCACCTTTTTAAAAAATATGAATTAATAGGCACCGGGATGTACAGAGCAAATATTGTGAAACTGGAAAGATATCCATAACTTGATCTTTGGAGAGCAGATGGTAATTTTGGAAAAATGGCACGTTTGGTCCTTGAGGCTGGACTGTTACTAGAGAAATTCAAGAACAACTGAAAGACCAACTAAATATAGCTATCCGCAATGCATGGCATGTAAATTAATTTAATCTCTATAGTGCTATGTGCATGGTGCATGTGCTTGTAAATCATTTCAATGCAGATGCTCGAGCACGCAAGAGTGTGCCATAAGCATCAACGGCTGGGACAAGGATAATCGATGCAAAAGAAAAAAGTGTCTATATATTAAAAAAAAAAAACTAAGCATATACCACAAACATGCAAATAAAGTGCATACGATTTGGGGAGAGCACAATATTGCCTTGCAGTTTCAGGTAAACTAAATTATAAATATCCATAAAAATATAGAGGAAAGAAATTAGCGAATAAATTACATAACGTAGTATATTATTTAATGTTAGCAATAAAATCACAAAATAAATTGTATAATAGCACTTTGGCCACCATGGCCCTCAACCTCAAGAACTCACTCCATTGCTTTCTTGGCTGACCGACAAAGATTCGGTTGGGAAAGTTCAAGGTCCAAGCTTTGGGGAGGATCAAGTCCGAATATTAAGAGATAAACCAATGAGTAATAGAATGATCCCAAATTATTAGTATTATTATGTTATTATTTATATAGCACCATCAAATTCCGCAGAGCTTTACAATGTTTGGACGAAGAGATATGTAGTTGTAACCAGGCAAGTTGGACACACAGGAACAGAGGGGTTGAGGGCCCTGCTCCATGAGCTTACATGCTAGATGCAGTAGGGTAAAGTGACACAAAATGGTAAGGAAAGTATTAGACTAGTGACAGCTGCAAAAGAGGAATCAGTCGGGAGCTATTAACAATTTAATTGATACGCTTTTATGAAGAAGTGGGTTTTTAATGATTTTTTGAAGGAGTGGAGACTGGGTGAGCATCTAATGGAGGAGGGAAGTGAGTTCCACAGGAACGGTGCAGCCCTCGAGAAGTCTTGAAGGCGAGCATCAGAGGTGGGAGTACGGACAGAAGACAGACGTAAGACTTCAGCAGATCGTAAGGGCCTAGATGGGACATACTTGTGTATTAGGGAGGATAGATAGGTGGGAGCAGCATTATGTAGAGATTTGAAAGCAAGAACCAAAATTGAAAATTGAGCCCTATATCTTACAGTAAGCCAATGTAGGGACTGACAGAAGGGTGAGGTGAGGCGTGGGAGGTGCGGGCATACAAGAAGATGAGCCTCGTCGCCGCATTCATTATGGACTGTAACGGCGCAAGTTGGGAGCACGTAAGACCACTGAGAAGCGGATTACAGTAGTCAAGGCGAGAAAGGACAGTGGAATGGACCAGCACCTTACTGAAGTGGGTCTAGCAGAGAGTTGGACTCAAGGAAGTCTTTCAATCTTGCATACACAATTATTTCAAGGATCTTGGATGCAAAAGGCAGTAGCGAGATAGGATGGTAGTTGGATGGGGAGTAAGGGTCAAGGTTGGGCTTCTTTAGAATTGGGGTTACAGTTGCATGTTTGAAGGTCGATGAAAATATACCAGAGGAGAGAGAGAGATTGAGAATTTTAGTGAGAGGTGGAGAAAGAGAAGATGAGAGAGTATGGATGAAATGCGAGGGAATTGAATCTAGGGAGCAGGCAGGGCTGGATTAACATAGGGGCTGATGGAGCTGCAGCTCCAGGCCCAGGCCTAGGCCTATGGAATAGGCCCATTTATTTATTTATTTTTAAATGTTTTTTTGGCTTTTTTTTTTACATTTGTTTTTCGCACACTACTCTTAGGGATTCCACCTGGCTTTTATTTTATTTTATTTTATTTCCACAGCCAGTATTTCAGGCTGCCTGGCTGGTGCCAATATTGCAGTGATACTGGCAATACAAATGTTGGTATTTTTATCAGTATAAACAAGAGATTACTATGCAATACCAGCACTGGCAGTAGGGGTCGCTGTGTGTGGAGCCAGGCAGGGATAGGAAGTTTCAGCATATCCCTCACTGCCTATCTATACTCACTGATCTGCAGGGGTGCAGCTACAGAGATTCCAGACAGCAACTCCCACCCTGCAGAGACAGCCTACAGCTCAGGGAAGTGAGGGATGGAAGGAAAGGCTGCAAGGAGACATACACTGAGACACTAAGGGGCATTGGGAGACATTATGGCAGACACTGAGACACTAAGGGACACACATTATGGAGACACTAAGGGACATTGGGAGACATTATGGCAGACACTGAGACACTAAGGGACATTGAGAGACATTACGGCAGACACTGAGACACTAAGGGACACTGGGAGACATTATAGCAGACACTGAGACACTAAGGGACATTGGGAGACATTATGGCAGACACTGAGACACTAAGGGGCATTGGGAGACATTATGGCAGACACTGAGACACTAAGGGACATTGGGAGATATTATGACACAGACACATGGGGACACAGTGTCTCCCAGCCAGTGTCTGTGGTGTCTCAGTGCCCCCTAGTCTCCCAGTGACCCCTAGTCTCCTAGTGCCCCCAGTCTGCCAGTGTCTCACTGTCCCCATGTCTCTTAGTGCCTCCATGTCTCTCATAGCCTCAAGTGTCACAATGTCCCCATGTCTCCAAGCTAGTGTACCTAGTGTCTGTGGCCCTGGTGTCTCAGTGTCCCCATGTCTCAATGTCCCCATTTCCCCCACCCAGTGTCCCTGGTGTCTGTGTCCCCATGCCTTCAAGTGTCCCCTATTTTCCCATTGTCCCTGTCCCAGCCAGAGTCCCCTAGTCTCCCAGTGTCACTGGTGTCTCCGTGTCCCTAGGTCTCCCCGTGTCCCCAGGTCTCCCCATCTTCCTAGTGTCCTAGTGACATGGGGACCCTGGGATACATGGGGACACAGGGAGACATGGGGCATTGAGACACTTTGATACATAGGATCACTGGGAGACATGGGGCACTGAGACACTGATACATAGGAACACTGAGACCTGGAGTAATCGACACATGGTGGCACTGAGTCATGAGGGCACTGGGAGACATGGAGGCACTGGGAGGAATCCATCTATACAGCAGAATCAAACTAAGTAGTTGTTTGGTGATTTTACAGCATTTTCTCTTATGTCACTCCTTGTGATTTACATCATGTGATGTCACCCATACATATTTAATTATGCAAATTAGTAAGGCCGGTATGTTTTTCCAAGAAAGGTGGCAACCCTAACTACTTTTCACATACTCTTACTTAAGTATGGAAACTTAAGTGGTATGTATGGGAACAAAACTTGTGTGGACTGGCTGACAATGAATATAGTTAAAGGGACACTATAGTCACCAGAACAACTACAGCTTATTGAATTTGTTCTGGTGAGTAGAATCATTACCGTCAGGCTTTTTGCTGTAAGTATGTACAAGAAGCAGAGAGAATATTGTCAGACTCAGAGACATATAGAATATTGGACAAGAACCCCAGTGAAGATATTAAAAGGAAATTTGATGAGTTCATCAAGAAAGGTTTAGAAAAGAGAATACTAACCGAACAGGAAGCGGACTACTTATCCACCCCTTACCCTAAAATTCCGATATATTACCACCTCCCAAAAATACATAAAAATAGAGACAACCCTCCAGGGAGGCCTATTATATCTGGAATAGACTCCATCTCCGCCAAAATCTCCGAATATTTAGACCATCTATTGCAACCTTTAGTCATCCAGAATCCTGCATATTTAAAAGACACCATCCATATTTTACAAATTTTAGAGGAGACAACTTGGAATGAAGGGAATTTTTTGGTCACATGTGACGTGACTTCGTTATATAGCATAATACCTCACGAAAAGGGATTGGAAGCTGTGCAATACTTTTTAGAAAAACATAATTTTAAAAAAGAACAAGTTTTATTTATTTTAGAAGGTATACATCTTATCCTAACCAACAATTTTTTCTGGTTCAATGAAGTTTTTTACCTACAAGTTAGGGGGACGGCGATGGGCACCAAGTTCGCCCCCAGCTATGCGAACCTGTTCATGGCTTATTGGGAAGAACAGTACGTATATCAAGGACACCCATGGGGGTCAAACTTGGTGAACTATCGCCGTTACATAGACGATATATTTTTTATCTGGACAGGGAATGCTACGGACCTAAACTCCTTCATCTCCTATCTCAATGCCAATGAATGGAACTTAACTCTGACTGCACAGATCAACACGCAACACATTAATTTCTTAGATCTAGATATCCACATAACAGACATGAAGATTGCAACCAGAAATTATTTTAAAGAAGTTGATGCAAATGGCTACATTCGCAAAGAAAGTTGCCACCACTCTCCTTGGTTAACCAATGCACCTAGAGGACAGTTCCTAAGAATTAGGAGGAACTGTTCGAGTGACCAAGATTACTTAAGACAAGCTAATAAGATCAAAATTCAATTTTTACATAAAGGCTACGAGGAATCTTCATTACAGGCAGCCTTAGAAAATGTTTTACAAATACCGAGAAAGGAACTTCTGGTATACAAAAACAAAAAGAAAGACTCTAAATGGAGCAACAATAACATTCCTTTCATATGTAATTTTAACGGCAACAACAAGAAAATTAACAAAATTATAAACAAGCATTGGCATATCCTACGAGATGATCCAGTTCTCAAAAATATTCTGCCCGACAAACCAAAAATAATTTTTAGGGGAGCCAAGAATCTTAAAAATTCCCTAGTACAAAGTTGCAATAGAGAAACAAAAATAAAGAAAAATTTCTTTTCAATCGACAAAGGATTCTATGGATGCGGACAATGTCTAGCATGCAAGAATACTAAGAATAAAAAAAGACATATAACAGATCTAGAACCCTTTATCAATAGGAAATTCACAATAAAAGATCACCTTACCTGCCACTCCAAAGGAGTAATTTACGTTCTAAAATGTCCTTGCAACCTCCTTTACATAGGTCGCACAATTCGAAGCCTTAACATTAGAGTGGCGGAACATATAAGAAACATCAAAAATGGAGTGGAGTCACACAGTGTCTCCAATCACTTCAGAATTGCACACCAAAAAAACCCTGGAGGAATGTTTTTTAGTGCAATTAAGCAAGTAGCAAAAGATTGGAGAGGAGGGGACTATATTAGGAAGATAGGGAAGGAAGAAATGAAATTTATTTTTAATTTTAATACCATGATACCGTATGGATTAAACAAAGATTTTGAATTATGCCACTTTATGAATTAATAAGCATTTTTAAGTATACTCTTCTTTTATGTGGATTTTAGTATCCATTATGTTTTTACCTCCCCTTTTTTTATGTATTTAATTTTTAGTCTATCCAGATTGTTCACTTACTGTATAATACTAAGAATCACCTTTTACCATTCACTTTTATCATTATATTATATGTATGAGCCCACACTGCACGAACTTTATGCAGACATGCACTCTTTTCTGCTTAGTGGTCCCTATGTAAACATTTCGCATGCATGGGACACTTCCTTATGCCAATAAAGCTTGTTGAATTATACACACAAGGAAGTCCGATGACGAAACTGATGTTGGAACGCACGGTGCGTTCCAAAAAGACGCAAACCGGAAGTGACGAAACCCGGAAGTAAAAGACGGAATTAGTGAAACCGGCAAACGAGGCATTTAAAAAGCCACTAGAACAGACGGAAGATAGAACAGCCAACTGAGGAAGCCTTATGAAAAGGCGAAACGCGTTTTGGACTATCACTTTGACCTTGGGACTATTAAGTCTACCCAGTACTATCTGGGATAAGTATTCTTTTTTATTATATGTATCTTTTTTGGAATAAATTGTTTTTTAAAGAATCCTGACATACTGGGTATTTATCCCTATTTTTGTAACCAGTCGGAAGGGTACAAAAGGAACCACTCAACATCTAACACGCTGCCAAAGAAGGGTCTGGACAACCCCCAAATGGTCCAGAAGCTTATACCACCAGAGTCATATGAGGGTATGACTCCAGGCTTGTGAGTTTGACATATCTTCCTATCTACTTTCGATATAGTGTGTTACAGACATATTGCACTATTTTTTTGTTTGTATTTTATTTTCACAGAAAGCCTGCTGATATTTAAAAGCTCCACTTGTTTTATGTATGTATAATTTTTTGCTGTAAACACTGTCTTTTCAGAGAAAATGCAGTCTTTACATTACATCCTAGTGATAACTTCACTGGCCACTCCTTAGATGACTGTTAGAGATCCTTCCTGGGTCATGGCTGCCTAAAATGCATCCAAACATTCAGTCTCTCCTCCCTCTGCATTCAGACACTGAACTTTCCTCATAGAGATTCATTAATTAAATTCATCTATATAAGAAGATGCTGATTGGCCAGGGTTGTGTTTGAATCAAGCTGGCTCTGACCCTGATCTGCCTCTTTGTCAGTCTCAGCCAATCCTATGGGGAAGCACTGTGATTGGATCAGGCCACTACTTCTAATGATGTCAGCAGACTGCTTGTTTTTATGAGTCTAACATCATGCAGAGTTACAGCTTCAGGCTTGAATATAGTAATATTTTGCTATATTTATGGAGGCATGAGGGGCCAAGGGGGGCTAGATGGTGGTGTTAACACTATAGGGTCATGAATTCATATTTGTGTTTCTGACCCTATAGTGATCCTTTAAGGTAATGCTGACTTTGGTCTTTCTAACACTGTGGCATGTTCCCTTTCTTCTACACTCACTACATACAGCTTTTCTCTGTCCCAGACCATATACCAGGAGCTTCTGCCTGCTAGTAAGAAGGTAAGGAGACAAGTGGACCAGCGAGTGCTAGGGGACAGTCCTTAGAAAGCATTGAGTGAGTGCATCATTAGATGCATTTATGCCAAGCTCAGGGTGCTGTCTGCATAGTATGCCCTTAGTTGGCCAGCTGCATGATTGGCAGGCAGCCTGACATGCATTCATGCCAGGCTGGCCTTCTAATTCTTTGAGCAGACATGTCCTCTTTTTGGGCATGTTCGCCCCTTTTGGCAGGTTACGTGATTTGTGTCAGTAGCACACCCTTTTACCCCACCCATTGACTTCCTGCCTGACTGGACACTGCTGTTAGGGGTTATGGATTTACTTGAAAGATGAAAACATAAATTAGAGAGAGATTAGCCTAGGGTATGTATTTTCTTATAGCTGCTGTTTTCTGAAACCTCTTCCAATGTAGCGGGTGCAAATGAACATAGAACAGCAGAGGGAGTGAAGTTAGGGGAAGTATTGTAAGGGGAAGAAGAAAGATGAAGATGAGAGATCTCTTCCCTGATTGTAGAGATCTTGTCAGTGAAGTGAGTTGCAAAATCTGAGGCGGTCAAGTTAGATAGCTCAACAAATTTAATTCGCTTGATTGAGCTGTGACGTCTTCCACATCCAGATCTTTATTTGTAGTGGTCCATAAGGATATTCTATTATTGCCCACATACATTTGCCCACATACTCACATGAACAATTGCAATGCACCAGATAATGGAGTATATTCGGTAAACATCATTGAAAACCAACACAATGTTGTAATTTCCGCTATTAACATCAGGAACAGGAAAAACTGATAGAGATTCAGTATATTGATTCAAAGATCATCACAGCTGATATGACCTGGGGGAGGTAGAGAAAACCATATATTCATCATAAATTTGGGTTTCACACTTTCTTAATACTACTGTAGAAAATTATCTTTTTTTTTATTGACAGTAAGTAGTTAGATCTTGCCACCCACAGTTTATAGGAAAATATACTCAAACATGTATTCCTTATAAATTCAGATACATGAGGTGTTTAATATTCCAATTTAATTATGTTGTTATGGTTTCTATACACTGATGCAACTAACCTACTATACCTGCAGTTCAGTGAATGGGGTCACTTATTTAATCCTCTCTTGAATATCCCTCTGCCTTCTTTACCAAAAGGGTAACACAGACAGCTAGATTGATTCATCATTGAGATGCTGAGTCTGTGACTGTTGAGCTTCAGCCAAGTCATTCCCAGTAGGGGCCACTACAAAGCATTGAATGAGAGGGCAAAGAGGAGGATATGAATCAGAGTGCAATGGAAGGAAGTGAAGAAAGTTACTGCTATGCATCTCTCATATAATGAGGTTAGCTCTGTATGTACTGTACCTACACAACAACGCCCATGCTGAAAAGCCCAGCTTTGTTCAACCGCTCAAGCATTAATCCTTTGCAAGCTAAAAAGGATGCCAAAATATTTTTTTATAGACTTTGCATGTTTACAAGAGCATTGCATTTAATGCAGGCACTTAGATTTGTTAAACAGAACATATCTAGATCCTCAAACGGCCTAGAATGATAGAAGTTATAGCAGACACATCCATAGAATGGCAGCATCACAAATGAAACATAGCAAACCTGAAATCATTTATAATTGACATGGGGTTTGTACATTTTATGCCATAACAGACAAAATGAGAAAATCCTCAAACCCTGCTAATTTTATGTTTTGCAATTCTGTTATCAATTCTCCGCAATTGTCAAGAAGAAACCATAACTTTTTTATTCAAGCCTTTTTTTACTTCACATTGCCAAGTGCCCACCATTCTTTTAAAGTCTTGTTCGACAATGTACAAGAGTACGATAGTCTGTTCTACTTTTATAAGTGTAGGGACACCGACCAATTGTCACGACAAAGTGACCCCAGCACACAGAAAGTAACCAAAAATGAGAAAACATATTACTGGACCTTAGAATGGCCGGGTTTAACACGGCTAGTGAGAGAATAGTCAAGTAATAGCCCAAGTCTAGGAAAACCAGAGATCAGGAGAACAATAAGAATAGCCGAGTCAGGAAACCAGAAATCAGGATAAACGAGAAAAGCGAGCCGAGACTGGTATCCAAGTCAGGATACCAGAAAACAGAACTGTCAATATATTATGCAAGCCAAGTCAAATACCAAATAAAACAGACAAGAATCAAATAGCACTAGAGGGAACAACTAGTGAACGACAACAGGGCACTGAATCATAAGCAAAAGGTGCTCTTTTATAGGGGAGTGTATTTTGTTTTAAATCCACACCCGCAAAACATCAGTGAGCGTGGAATACTTTGAATTTTTGCGGCAATGCCGCCATGATGTTGGCACGCATGCGTCGCATCATAAATGGGGGCTGGTGTGGAGCGACTGGCGTCCGACATGTCGTGCAGACGCCGAGATGAGTAGGCAGTCAGAGAACTTCCCCGCGGGCTCACAGGACCAAAGTAAGTTATTGTGACACCAATATAATAGTTTTATTA